GAACCAGCCGCGGTTCTTGAGCGCGGAGGACCAGAGCAGCTCTGTCCCGGTCTCAGTCCCGCTTGGTCTGGTTGGTCTCGGACCTGGACCGTCCTGATTCTCTATGCGGTGAACGGGATTAAAACTTGTTCCTCTGGATTAGTTCAAATCAAGACGGAAGTTAAACAAACGGCCGTTATCCGTTTTTTCCATTCTTCAAAAACAAAATCGAAAACTGAAAAAGATTTATCCGATTATCAGGTGTTTTTTCGTTTTCTTATTTTTGGTTTTATATTGAAAAATGAATGAACAGAACGTGTCCCATGGCAAACCTTTGCCACCATGAACCGGGCAGCTATGTCATGACTTCAGAGCATCGGAAAACATGGGCGGGTTTTGTTGTGTATTTGGTTGTTCTAACTCTGAAGATAAACATTAGTTTCTTAACTGTTCCTCTGGAAATTATTATCAGAAACAAGGGATTCAAAAAAAAAGATGTGGATTATGGCACAGAACATAAACCATGAAGAGATTTCCTATGGTACCATCAAGACACCCGAAGTTTCATCAAGGTATTTGCTCTTTAAATTGTTTCATAGCTTATTTAATGAAAGAAGCACATTTACTGAACTAAAATTTCATTAATTTATCCAGGAAAACCCGCACTAGTTTACGATTCAACGAACCCACACTGGGCTCCTATGATCAACATGGTGCACGAGTCGAAGAGTCTGTGAGCCGAACCTCGAAAGAATCGGCCATGAAAAGATCCTCGTGAACGTTAGAAAGATCTGCTCACAAAAAGCGATTAATTCTAGAAGACATAGTTGTGGTTAAGCAAGACAATAAAGAAAACATGGGTCCTACGACGAGTGACATGTTTATATGTGCGCTGGAAGATCCAGTTTCTACTGCCACTCACACTGCAAATGTTTTCTTTTTACATTTTAGTTCAGTAAATGTGCTTCTCTCATTAAATAAACTATGAAACAATTTAAATAACAAATACCTTGATGAAAGTGACGTGAGTGTGTCTTGATGGTACCATTGGAAATCTCTTCGCGGTTTATTTTCTCTAGACATAATTCCCGTCTTTTTTTTTTTTGGATAATTCCCTTGTTTGAGCTCCTGATGAGTCATTTCCAGAGGAACAGTGAAGAAACTAATCGTTTTATCCTTTTCAGAGCGTCTAGAACAACCAAATACACAACAAAACCTGCCCATGTTTCTCCGATGCTGCAGAAGTCAATGACATAGTGTGCCCGGTGTCATGGTGGCGTAGTTACCGTTGCCATGGGGGGGACGTGACGGTGCAAAGCCTCTATTGTGTAAGAACCACTGATATAGACGAGAGTGGAGAGGAGCACCAACACTGACACACAAATAGACAAACACACAGACAGACACATATAGAAAAGAAACATGTTCAAGATTATCCTGTGTTTAACACAACAATTACCTAACTAATCTAACTTAATATAAATCTAACAAATTCGCTAATAAACAACAAACAAAAATAATGTGAATTGTTAAGCAATGTTAAATAAACTCTAACATAATGTAAATCCTAGCAACAATAGCAAAAACAATAAAGATTTAGTGTACCTGGTGTAGTAGTAGTTGGGGCAGGAGTAGTTGTAGTTGTAGTTGGAGCAGGAGTACTTGTAGTTGGTGCAGGAGTACTTGTAGTTGCAGGAGTAGTTGTAGTTGGAGCAGGAGTAGTTGTAGTTGGAGCAGGAGTAGTTGTAGTTGGTGCAGTAGTAGTAGTTGGTGCAGGAGTAGAGTAGTTGTAGTTGGAGCAGGAGTAGTTGTAGTTGGTGCAGTAGTTGTAGTTGGTGCAGTAGTTGTAGTTGGTGCAGGAGTAGTTGTAGTTGGGGCAGGAGTAGTTGTAGTTGGAGCAGGAGTAGTTGCAGGAGTAGTTGTAGTTGGTAGTAGGAGTAGTTGTAGTTGGGCAGGAGTAGTTGTAGTTGGGCAGGAGTAGTTGTAGTTGGTGCAGGAGTAGTTGTAGTTGCAGGAGTAGTTGTAGTTGGGGCAGGAGTAGTTGTAGTTGTAGTTGGAGCAGGAGTAGTTGTAGTTGCAGAGTAGTTGTAGCAGGAGTAGTTGTAGTTGGGGCAGGAGTAGTTGTAGTTGGAGCAGGAGTAGTTGTAGTTGGAGCAGGAGTAGTTGTAGTTGGGGCAGGAGTAGTTGTAGTTGGGGCAGGAGTAGTTGTAGTTGGGGCAGGAGTAGTTGTAGTTGGGTAGTTGTAGTAGGTAGTAGTTAGTTGTAGTTGGGGCAGGAGTAGTTGTAGTTGGGGCAGGAGTAGTTGTAGTTGGGGCAGGAGTAGTTGTAGTTGGAGCAGGAGTAGTTGTAGTTGGTGCAGGAGTAGTTGTAGTTGGTAGCAGGAGTAGTTGTAGTTGGTGCAGGAGTAGTTGTAGTTGGGCAGGAGTAGTTGTAGTTGGAGCAGGAGTAGTTGTAGTTGGTGCAGGAGTAGTTGTAGTTGGTAGTAGGAGTAGTTGTTGTTGGAGCAGGAGTATGTGATAAGATGGAGATGTTAGTCACATTTTTGTAAACGGACAGTACAGGTAGAAATGTGATGAGAACAGAGATGGAATTAGTATTTGCTGAGGCACAGCCCTGGACTGGGAGACTGGACGCTGAAGTTGTTGTTGCTGAAATTGTAAGTTTTAGTTGAAATGTTTTACTTTCATTATTTTAAACATGTTATTTATGAGCTTTAAAGAAGGAAACAAATACACAAGTCCTGTAAATAACAAGTGTATTCCTCTGATTTCAGACAAACCTGTAGTTTGGAAGCAGCTGGTCTCCAGTTCATTACATGTTACATTAGTAGTGCATGTGCCTGTCTGAGGATCACAGGTCGGGCATTGCACTGAGCTGTTTCCAGGAGGCGACGGCACTGCAACACAAACCAGAACATCACTACATCTTTAACCACAGTAACACCTTTATTTTCTAATGGATATAACTTTCATCTTCTTTCAACTTTTGTCTTTTTTAACTAAATGAAATGTACTCACATGGTGGGGTTTCTTTGTTGCAGTTGTTTTGGTCATTACAACAGGTGGCTTGTGCAAACACTTGACCAGATCCAGTGTTTAAGGAGTATGTCTGTGTGTCTGCAACTGGACACAGCGAGGAGTCTGCACATTTCTTTATTATTCTGGTAGTAGTCGTTCCACCCTGAGTAACTAAAAAGGAATAAAAGTTTGGAAATTATTTTAAACAAATTATGTCATTTCATATAAAGAAAATATTCATGACATGTGTGATAAAAATTTACTTTGTGTTGCTGATACAAAGCACATGGTTTCTGTTGCTGTACAGTCTTTCACTGATGATTGTTTGCATGTTGGATCAGGGGAGTCTTTACAAGTGTCACAGCTGATTGTAGAACCTGTTGAAACACAACACAAATCATTTATAATAAAACACTGATGCTTCTCTCTTAAGTGCATAAATAATGTTCCCTGTTATAACACGTCTGTAAGTCTTTAACTGTCCTGGTAAAACACACAAATACATTCATACTACAAGAAGAGTCAAGTATTCTAAAGAAACATAATTCATAATGAACAGATTTATACATTTCCCAAAAATGACCCATCATTTTGAAAAACAAGTAAATGATACCAGAAGATACAAAGTAAGAAACACAAATGTTCATCCCTTTTAATATGACATGATTCCATATGATGTTTCTATTAATACTTGTACCAAGTACACAGCAGTATGCTGGTTGTGGAGATTGGCCTGTCCACACAATTCATACTGGATAATGTGAATAGTTAAACATTGTCTATTGAAAAGTCAAATAAACTCTAACATAATGTAAATCATAAATAACAACAATAGCAACAACAATAAAGTCTTAATAACTATGATAAATGTTACCTGAGCTGCAAAAAGTCAGAGTTAGAGCCAGAGAAAACAGTATATGTCTCTTCATGTTGATCTCTCTGTAGTTTCCTCTGTGTTTGCTTTTAGATCTCTTGTAGTTTGGAGATGCACCTGCATCTTATATATGTTTCAGGTTTGAATGGGCTGTGGCTGTTTAGTCTTTTATTCTGACCAAATTCATAATCTGAGAATGTGTCACACCCACTCAATGCCCTGAGTGACAGATGAAACAACAAAGCATGGACACTTAATAAGCTGTTTGTGAGATGCTAAATAAATAAACCTAGTTTCTATGAAGGATGGAGCCATGCACTCTAGCCAAGTTGAACTCAATCAAGAGACACAGGAATTCTATTGAACATTAAGAGACTTTTCATAGAAACAGCTCCAAAATCTGTTCTTATGAAGTTTTTTATGAAGTTATAATAATAATAATAATAATTATTATTATTATTATTATTATTATTATTATTATTAAAACTAGAACAGTTTATTTCTTTTTAATCATTACCTTTTCTTTATTTGTCCCCTAAAGGAGAACATGAGACATAACGTGTAGAAAACTGCAGGAATAAATAACCTGAGAGTTATGTGATGAGGATCATTAACAACAATGGTGCTTATGCTGCATTCACAATTCACACAGCAGGTCAAGTTGTTTTTTTTTGTTTGTTTTTTTCAAATGTAACCCTTTAAATCTCCAATTCAGTCAACTTTATTTATATAGCACATTTTATAAACATGACAGTTTCCAAACTGCTGCACAGACAAATCATAAAAAAACAAGAAACGGATAAAGCATTTATGCAAATTATAATAAAATTAACAAAATAAAATCAATTAAATAATAAAAATAAAATTTCAAGTTAAATAAAAGACACAGAGCACTTCACTGGGGGAAGCTTCGGACTTGGTGGGTGTTCCAGCTTGAAGTTGGCCGTAGAGGAGGCCCTGTCCCCCTGGTTTTAAGTCTCGTCATAGGCACCACGAGCTGGCGCTGGCCCTCAGATGTTAGAGCACGTGCAGGGGTGTAAATTTGCATGAGGTCTGAGATGTATTGTGGTGCCAGTCAAAACAAACAATAAAATCTTAAAATCTATTCGAAATCAAACAGGAAGAAAGTGCAAAGATGCAAGGATGTAAAATGTTCTTGTCTTTTGGTTCCCATAAAAAAAAGAAAATAATAATAATAAACTTGTACCTTGTACCTTGTACCTTGGTCAGACAAATAAAGTGAATGAATGAAAGTGCATTGCAGTATTCCAGGCGTGATGAAATAAAAGCGTGCAAGACCTGTGAAGGTGAAAAATGTTTGACTTTGGATAAAAGCCAAAAATGATAAAAACTTGATTTTAAGACGCCATTTATCTGTTTATCAAATTTAAAATCACTGTCTAACATGATACCAAGGTTGGTGACAGTGGGACGCCATGAACTTCAAAGATCTCACCAAGTAGGAAGAGGTACAAGATAAATAGAATTGGGCCAATAATTGCACCGTGGGGAACACCACTGTACAGAGGAGCAGAGGATGAGGTGGAGGATGAGGTTTACTGCCCAGACAGGTATAACCTAAACCAGTCCAGGGCTGTCGTCCTGACCCACACACAGTCTTCACGACATTTTAAAAGAGTTGTATGGTCAATCAGTTATTAAAAACAGGTTATTAAAAACCTTTAAAAGTGCTGATTCTGTGCTGTGAAATGGTTTGTATCCTGACTAGAAAGTGTCAAAAGTTCCATTTGCATTTAAAAAAGCTACAAAAGGAAGTTTGGAAAATGGCTGATAATTAGACAGAATTATAGGGTCGAGTCCAGTTTTCTTGATCAGTCAACAGCCATTTGACAAAGGGATGGGACAATGCCAGAAAAGAGACTGCTACTGATGATCTCCTTAACATCAAGACCAATAGTTTCCCAAACCTCTTTAAAAAAGCGAGGTGGGACTAGGTCTGTGGGGCAGGATGAGGGCTTTAATTTGTCAGCTATCCCTGTGAGCACAGACAGTGACACAGGCTCAAACTGAGTAAAAACAGCAGAGCACTGTGCAATTAGGCCAATGTTAAAAGTAGACACAAGAGAAGATATATTAGCTCTAATAGCAGCAACGTTATTGTTAAAGAATAAAACAAACGTTCACACATCTCAAGTGTCATTTTCAGAGTGGTGGATGGATGGGGGTTACACACAGAACCAATTGTTTTAAAAAGAATACAGGGTTTGTTGAAATTCTCTGGAATCAGGTCTGAGAAATATTTAGTTTTTTTCACTCTCCACAGTGCTTTGATACAGCCTGCAGCGGTCTTGTGTCTTTATTAAGATACTTCCAAGTTATCACTTTTCCACCTGCATCGCTGAGCATGTTGTGTTATTAAGCCATGGCTCTTGTCTGGGTTTGGGTTGCATAGTTTTCAGTGGAGCAACATTGTCCAATAGACACAACAAGAATCTCGGACGTCTGGTCATTGCCCAATTCATACTGGGAAGGATTTTCCAAAAAAGTGAGCATCAAACTGCCATGTTTGATTTTACAGTGGGATGCGTCTATTGACAAAGTCGATCTTTTCTAGTCTTTTGAACCATATCACTTTTGTTTCTGGTTCTGATGTTGTCATATTTTAGTTTTGGGATTCGGACATCTTTAATTGTGTGGTTGTTGGATCCTAACAGCGGAAAAAGGCTTGAGAAATTTGTTTGCAAACTCCATAAATGCAAAAGGGAATCAGATGTGTGTGACTGCAAACCTCTGTTCAAACTGTTTCCCTTCCCAACGGAATTGAAAAATAGTGAAAGGTGAAAGCGATGGGCAGGATTGATCCACGGGAAGGAGCAAAAAGGAAACCTTTGGCTGCCTAAATCAGCCCGAGTTTGCAGCGAACATTTTGTATATGGAGCGTCATCAAAGAGGGATCCTGTTTGTTAAGTGAAAAGTACAGAAGACAAACAGACTGAGCTGCACTTTCTTGTTCTTGTAGTTTTACAGAAACATTAAGTCTTGGTCTCTTTGCAGTGGAAGGTGTTTCTTGGCAAACAGCTGGTGCCTTTCACTTTGGCGTTGACTTTTTAAATTCATAATCAAAGTTGAGTGAGGGATCGGGATTTTGCTTTGATGGCGCTCCACAACCACACAATTAAAGATGTCCGAATCCCAAAACTAAAATATGACAATATTGGAACCATAAACAAAAGTGATATGGTTCAAAAGACTTGAAAAGATCGACTTTGTCAATAGACGCATCCCACTGTAAAATCAAACATGGAGGTTTGATGCTCACTTTTTCAGTAAATCCTTCCCAGTATGCACTGTGCAGTGACCAGAAGTCCGAGATTCTTGATGTGTTTATACATCACAGCAGGTCAAAACAAAAGAGTTCATTAATTCCTAAGTACACACAGATGCACTCAGGTCAACAGATTCCATAAAAAGAGGGGAAAAGTTAACAACAGTCTCTGGCTTTATAGAGCATCTCTGGCACATAGGACCAAGTAGTTTCACATCACTGTGCATCTTAAAATCAAACATGACAGGACTATGGTCGGAGAATACGGCATCACCAATAAAGATATTGTCCACAGGAAGACCATAAGACAGTACAGGGTCTAAAGTGTGTCCATGCATCTGTGTAGGACCAGTGACATGTGTTAAAATAAAACCGTGAACTAAATCTAAAAAAAAAATCCTTGCCATAGGCTTTAAAGGACAACACACATGCACGTTAAAATCAACAACAATTAAAATCCTGTCTGCTTCAAATCTGATCTACAGTCTGATCACACACTTCCTATTAATCTTACTGATGTGAAAAGCTACAGGCGCCACATGGTTTTACTAGAAAAGGCAAGAATTAAACACATTGAAACTTAATTTATGGTTTTCAGACAATTGATATATTTGTAAAATGATATTGACATAACAGGACTCACTAATCTAATGTCTCTGTTCTAATGTGACAGCAGCACGACTCCTGGAGTTGTCCTGTCACTTCAGGGCTGTTAGGTTCACACAAAAATATGATGTGAATTTTATTTGCAAAGTGATGTGGCTCTTCCACAGAACTAAACAGACACATTCACAAAGTCAAACTGGTCTTGTGTCTTGTCAAACACAACAGTGACAAACTCTGGTCTCTAATACTAATTACTGTCTTCTCTTACTGTTCAATGAACGATAAATGAAACAAACATGTTTAGCTCTTTGTACTATGAACATTTGGTTGTTTTTTTAATAGTATGTTTTTAGCTGCAGAGAGTTGAATAAGTTCTAAGTTCTACGGCTCATAACATCAATTAACTGCATATAATAATATTGTGTATATTTTCTGGAGTCTATTGCACTTAGACAACCACTGTGTGACCCACTTCACACGAGCTTCACACTCACACAAACTTAGAATTCACAATAATGACCCGACTGAAGTGTTGTATTAAATGTTTTAGGTCATTGTCACAGTTCAACCAACAGGCTTTGAGCTTTGAGTTTGTTCTTTTCTACCTTACACTCCTTAAGATGGCAATTATAAAGAAATAATCCACCATTTGAAAGTCTGTAAACAAATACATTGTGAACTGGAAACGGGATTAACACACAATATCAATGTATGTTTTTAGAAACACTTTTGTTATAACAATTACATTAATTTAAATGAGAAATGAGGAATTGAGTTAATTATCTGTTATAATGTTATAAATGTTATGACTCTAATCAAAATAATGTTTATTTAAGTTACACTAATTTGAAGCACTAACCAAAAGTCTATTTCTTTACAGAACATTTAATGTGGAGTGTTGCAGAAATGTTTTTATTTATGTTTTTCCCCCGTTAAACCTGCAGAGATGATATTACATCTTAAGAGCTCGGCTGTAGAGTGGAGAAGAGGATAGTGGGGAAAAAAAAAAATTCAAATTTTTAGATCAATAATAATTTTGATAATTCTTTAAAAAAAAAAAGTTTCTCCGGAGTTTTTAGTCATTTCATCAGATGTAATTTTCTAGTTTCATAATACAGGTGAATGTGTGAATTGATGAGTTTCTTTAAAACAGAACCACACCTCAACTGTAAAAATCCCAGTATGATAATTACATCTGAATGATAATTGAACACTGTTGCTCCTGTATTGTTCCTG